TCAGCTCAAGGCGAGCGCTCTACCACTTGAGCTACTGCGCCACTTCCAGTTTTCTGGTGGTTTATTGGAGATAGGAGTCTCACGGTCTCTCCTGCCTGGGCTGGCTTTGAACCTCGATCCTCAGATCTCAGCCTCCTGAGTAGCTAGGATTACAGGCGTGAGCCACCAGCGTCCGGCAAGGCTGTTCTTTTTCATCTATGTAATAATGTTTCTTTTTCTTTTCCTTCCTTCCTCCTCCTTTTCTTCCTCCTTTTTTAGTGTTGGGATCAAACCCAGAGCTTTGTACAGACTACCACTGAGCTACAGCCCCCAGCTCAGGACCAGGCTTTTAATAATGTTTCCTAATTTAAAAAATGAAAATGAGGTAATGATTCCTGCCTCAGAGTCAAATGAGGTAACTCAGGTGGAAATCATGTTGTAATGGAAACTATGACTGAAATGTTAGCTATAAATGAGCGTAACATGACAGGGATCCTGTCCCAACTAGAGCTAGGACTAGATCCTAGTCCTCTCCAAGCTAGAGCTGTCACTGTTCTTAGGGATCCTGTTGCTGGGAGGACAGACTTCCCAACTATTAGAAAATGTTTGTGGGAGCCGGGCACCCGTGGCTCACTTCTGTAATCCTAGCTACTTAGGAGATTGAGATCTGAGGACCAAGACTCAAAGCCAGCCTGAGCAAGGAGTCTGTGAGACTCTTATCTCCAATTAGCCACCAGAAAACAGGAAGTGGTGCTGTGGCTCAAGTGGTAGAGTACTAACCTTGAGCTGAAGAGCTGAGGGAGACAACGTGCAAGCCCAGAGTTCAAGCCCCATGACCGACCAAAAAAAAAAAGTTTGTGGGAACTTAATCACATGAAGTTCAGAAACCCTTAATATATGAAGCCCAGGAATCTTACAAAGGAAGACCTAAACCCTGACCTCAACTATGATACGCACATAGGTTCCTGAAAGAGAAAGCAGAAGAGGCAAATAAGGGAGGGCAGGAAAGAATTTTGCATGCGGAAGAAAACGCAGAAGGATTCTGGCCACGACGCCCATTGTGAACAGCAAGGGCATTCAGGCATTCCAGGCAGGTGAGAGGCCACACTATACTACCTTTACTACCCTAGTCGGCAGAGAGCTTTGGATAGTTGGGAGAAGAACCTTTGGAGGGGTGAAGCTTTAAAAAGGGAATGAGGTAAAAAAAAAAAAAAAAAGGGAATGAGGTTTCTCATTTAGCCAGACAGATCGAGGTCTAAGCATGGTGCAGGATAGGTTTAAGTGTCTGGAGACAGAAGCATGTGCAGCAGACAGATTGGCAATGGTATAATAAAAGTAGCTAATATTTAATGATACTTTTCACTTATTTTTTAAACTCAGCTTCTTCCCACCCCCATTTGCCAAGCAAACACTCCACCACTTGGTCCATGCCCCCAGTCCCACTCATTTAACTCTACAAACAAGAAGAAAGGGAATACTAACTGTCTCTCATAGCCCTCTCACAGGAGCTGAATGGACAGAGTTAGAAGTAATTTGCTTTCTGCTGGTAAAGTGGGAAAGCAAAGAATTCAAACCCAGGCTCCAGAGGCCAAACATGCTTCCATATTAGTACTTCCGGTTTGTTGTGGTATAATGAGCAGAGGGTTATCGACAAAATACCCCCTGGCTATGAATGCTTACTAGCAAGTCCAGAATATTACTAGTAAAGACAATAATTTTACTGAGAAAAAGTAGAATATGTTTCTATTAAAACTACATATTTATTGATATATCTCTAAGATACACTATCAAGTAAAAAGCATAGTATAAAATTGAATAGGGAATACTCTGTATATAAAAGGACAGAGGGCTGGGAATGTGGCTTAGTTGGTAAAGTGCTCACCTAGCATGCATGAAGCCCTGGGTTTGATTCCTCCGTACCACATAAACAGAAAAAGCTGGAAGTGTCTCTGAAGCTCAAGGGGTAGAGTGCTAGCCTTGAGCAAAAGAAGCTCAGGGACAGAGCCCAGGCCCTGAGGTCAAGCCTCAAAACTGGCAAAGAAAGAAAGAAAGAAAAAGAAAGAAAGGAAGGAAGGAAGGAAGGAAGGAAGGAAGGAAGGATTTATTTACTTAGTGCTGGTACTGGGGCTTGAACTCTGGGCCTGAGTGCTATTCTTTAGCTATTTTGCTCAATGCTAGCACTCTGCCACCTGAGCTACACCTCCATTTCTGGCTTTTTGGTGGTTAATTGGAGTTGAGAATCTCATGTACTCATGTACTTTCCTGCTTGGGTTGGCTCTAAACTGAGATCCTCAGATCTCAGCTTCCTGAGTAGTTAGGATTATAGGCACAAGCTATCAGCAAAAGGCTGGTTATTTTTACATTTGTCTATTTTTTTTTTGGTCGGTTGTGGGGCTTGAACTCTGGGCCTGAGCGCTGACCCTGTGCTCTTCAGCTCAAGGCGAGCACTCTAACTCTTGAGCCACAGTGCCACTTCTGGTTTTCTGGTGGTTTATTGGAGATCAGAGTCTCACGGACTTTTTTTTTTTTTGTCAGTTATGGGGCTTGAACTCTGGGCCTGGGTGCTGTCCCTCAGCTCTTCAGCTCAAGGCCAGCACTCTACCACTTGAGCTACAGTGCCACTTCCGGTTTTCTGGTGGTTTATTGGAGATAGGAGTCTCATGGTCTTTCCTGCCCTGCCTGGCTTTGAACCTCGATCCTCAGATCTCAGCCTCCTGAGTAGCTATGATTACAGGTGTGAGCCACCAGCGCCTGGCTCTCATGGACTTTTCTGCCTGGGCTGGCTTTGAACTGTGATCCTCAGATCTCAGCCTCCTGAGTAGCTATGATTACAGGTGTGAGCCACCAGCACCTGGCTCTCATGGACTTTTCTGCCTGGGCTGGCTTTGAACTGTGATCCTCAGATCTCAGCCTCCTGAGTAGCTAGGATTACAGGCATGAGCCATTGGCGCCCGGCTTTGTCTATTCTTATTTAATAGCTGTACCAAGGAGTTTCAATTTCAGAAGTCAGGATGACTATAATGTATTTGATCAATGTCACGCCCTTCCTTGTTCTCCCCATCTCTTCTTGTCCCATAGTTCAATTTTTATATAATAAATGACTTCATTTGTTCACCCTTCCTCCCTCCATTCATGTTCTTCCTCTTAGCCCCAGAACATGTTTCAACTTCTGGTATTCATTGTGATACAGTTTGTTACTTGAACAGAGCAGTTACATAATTGGATTCCTCCCTTAAGTATAACATTTTTTAGTCAAGTTGTGTATATACACATATGATGACATAAATGTCATCATGTATGTTTGTATTCCACATATGAGAGAAACTGTGGTTTTGTCTCTCAGAATTTGACTTACTTCATTTAACGTTTTCTAGGTCCATCTATTGTCCTGCAAATGACATATTATTTTTCTGATAGATGAGTAAAATTCCATTGAATACATTCATGTTCCATATTTTGATTATTTTATTTTAACAGTGGGATAATTTATAAATAAGCATGTTGGGGCTGGGAAGGTGGCTCAGTGGTAGAGCACTTGCCTTGCATGCATGAGGCCCTGGGTTCGATTCCTTAGCACCACATAAGCAGAAAAAAAAAAAGCCAGAATTGGCACTGTGGCTCAAGTGGTGAGTGCTAGCCTTGAGCTGAAGAGCTGGACAGTGCCCAAGAGTTCAAGCCCCACGACCGACCAAAAAAAAAAAAAAGGAGGGGGGCTGGGAGTGTGGTTCAAGAGGTATAAAAATATATGTGCACATGTGCACACATACGTATCACAAGATTTAAAAAATTCTTATTTACAAAAATAATATACCCTTACCTTGTTTGGTGAATAAATATCATCTTAAAATAGTTAGAAAAAGCAGCAAGCACGGCTCTGTGGGCTTTGAAGTACACATCTCCAATAGCAACTGTGCAATCACAGAGAAAACCAAATTCTCGCTGCATGTTCAACTGCTGTAGAAGGACAAGGCTATGGCTGGTATTATCCATTGTGACTCTGAAAAAAAGAGCAACATAAACATACATATGTTTGGATGTATCTATATAATTTTATATAAAATTCATTATAAACCAAGAATACCTAAGTACCATAAACCAAGGAGACCTAAATTTAAATGAAATTATTCAATAATTTTAAAAGTGTTAATTTACCTCAAACTTAGCTAACATTACATTTTCCCCCTTATGACAACTGATACAAACTGCTAAGCCGTCAATTACGGACTGTTTCAGCATAGTAAGAAGGTAGCTTAATATAAGTGAAACACTAGTGAAAGGAAGGCCTGTTCTTTTTTTTTTGGGGGGGGG